CGGGCACCGGGGGGGTTATGTGATGTGCGGGTAACGGCACGCCGCACAGCCTGCTGCCCCGGTACGTCTTCGTGCGCCTCCAGTTGTCCCGGACAGGAGAGTCTCATCATCTTTGAGCGTTCTCTGCGGAATCAGTTAAGCCCTGAAAAGAAATAAAATAGAATAAATCGACATCTGCCTGCAAATCAGCTGGAAAGATTACAGGTAACTCCTGTAATTTGCATTATTCGCTTTGAAAAGCTGTTTTTGGTCGTGGTGGATTTGTCCTAAACCAAGTTATGGGAGGGAGAAGGGCAGGTAGCAATTTCACAGCTATGAAAAGTCAAAGTAATAAACTCAAACTGCAGCCAGCCAGCTCGCCGTTTCTATTCTGGCCTGCTCCATGCGACCACGCCGGGGAAATCTGCAGTGAATGGGCTCCAGTGTACCCGTTTGCCTTCTCGATGCAACTGGAGCAACATAAAGAATGTGGAAGACAGACCAGTTCTCCCCCGTTCTGTAAACCTCCATCCCACCCCCAAAGCCCACACTGCAGGATATTAAGACTGAAAATTCACACAAGTTGTCTTGCACTGATTTCAATTACACTCTTCCGAGACTTCCAGTGGGTTGTTAAATCATTCCAAAATAGCAAAGCATGAAGGAACGTCGTGGTGCTTTACAGCGCCGGGTGGTGGAGGTGTTACGGGCAGTGTTCGGAAAGAAAACTCCACAGGTAACGCAGGCGCTCGCGTGAAGCCTTCCGCACTTCCGAGCAAGGCTGATGCAAATCCTGCCATGGGTTTTACAGGATCAGCACTAATACAGACTTCAAGCTCTTCAGAAAAATATAATTTAATTAAAAAATTAATTACGGTGATTTCACGCACTTGGGATGATCAAAATGATTTTGAGAAATTGGGAAATAGTTGAAAATTGGCATGTGAAGTTCAGCAAAGATGAGGTGCAAAGTCACATCTAGAAAAGGAAAAAAAAAAAACCAACAAAAAACCAACCAAATGAACAGCAACTGGTTCCAAGATCAAACAGTAAGATTCAGGTTAGATCTGAGGGGCTTTTTTTCTCCCCAATGTCTAGGGAGAATTAATAAGGGAATACCCACTGCTTGAGGGCAGTAACTCTGTGTCAGGGATGGGCTCGGTGCCTTTGACCCTGCCAGGGAGCAGAGGGGACCGTGATAACCCTCGAGCTGCCGCCCAGGCCCATGTCCTCAGCTGCTGGCCAGAACAAACCCAACCCTCCCTGCACCGTGCGCCGGGGCCGCGTCCCAGCACCATGACCGCGTCCCAGCGCCATGTCACCCCATGATGCAGCATGGCACCCGGCGTCCCTCGCACCCAGCCACATGCCCATGGGGTGTTTCTCTGCGGCATTATTTCCCGGTGGTGGTGTCTCCTCACCTGTCGGGGCCCTCACAGAACCATAACGGTTGGAAGAGACCTTTAAGACCATCGAGTCCAACCGTTACCACTGCCAAGTTACCACTAAGCCATATCCCTCAGCACATCTGCCCGTCTTTTAAACACTTCCAGGGATGGAGACTCAACCACTTTGCTGTGCAGCCTGTTCCAATGCTTGATAACCCTTTATGTGAAGAAATTTTTCCTAATATCCACCCTAAACTTCCCCTGGAGCAACTTGAGGCTGTTTCCTCTTGTCCTATCGCCTGTTACTGGGGAGAAGAGACCGACCCCCTTTCAGGTCGCTGTAGAGGGTGATAAGGTCTCCCCTCAGACTCCTTTTCTCCAGACTAAACCACCCCAGTTCCCTCAGCCACTCCTCATAACATTCGTTCTCCAGACTCCTCACCAGCTCCATTGCCCTTCTCTGGACACCCCCCTCAGCCCTCAGCGACCCCACAGCCAACAACACCCCCATGCCGTGCCAAGGGAAGGG